AGTATATATTTTTTAAAAAATATAGAAATGTCTATACAATATATATAGAATGGATTTCACAAAATTACTGGCTTAATTCCATCATTTGTTCTTTACTGCTTCTCTCAGTCTAAGTTGCTGTATAAAAAGACAACATTAAAACACAATCAAACCATTAAAAAAGAAAAAAGAAAAATGTGTATTTGTACAGATGGTTTACGCATATATGTTAGATAGATGATTGATAGATGATAGATGAAAGATTAATCGATCAGTGGTTTTGGATTAGGGCAGCTGTGACCGTGGTTCTTATTGTCATTCTCACAACAACCCTGTGGAATCGGCTAGGGTAAGGTCGCCCACAGTACATACGGTTGCCAACCTCCAGGTGGGGCCAGGAGAACTGGAATTACAGTTTACCCCCATAGTGAGGACAGAAATCGCTTCACCTGGATAAATATTCGTGTATTGATTTTGTCCAACTTTTATCCTGCCTCTTCCCTGGCAACTAGGGTTGGCGGAAGTTTAATACAAAATATAAATAAAAATACAATAGATTCAGGTGCATAGCCGTGTGGGTCTGAAGCAACAGAACAAAGTTTGAGTCCAGTGGCAACTTTAAGACCAAGATGGGTAGCCATGTTAGTCTGTAGGAGTAGAAAGTCCAGTAGCACCTTCAAGACTAACAAGATTTCTGGTAGGGTGTGAGCTTTCATGCATCGCTGCTTAGAAGTGAGCAGCGATGCATGAAAGCATAACACCCTACCAGAATTTTTTATAGTCTTTAAGGTGCTACTGGACTCTTACTCTTTTCTACTTTAAGACCATAAATACCCCCAGAATTCAACCTTTTAGGTCTTAAAGGTGCCACTGGACACAAACTTTGTTATAAAAATGCAAATAGTTTATAGGACAACTGAATACCCTGGCACTTTGGCATGACGATCAGAGAAGCGGATAGTAGCCCCATTAAGACTGCCTCAGTGGAATCATAAGAACAATAAGAGATGCCAATGTTGGATCAGGCCAAAGGCCCATCCAGTCCAACACTCTGTCACACAGTGGCCAGAAATCCCAGGTGCCATCAGGAGGTCCAGCAGTGGGGCCAGGACATTAGAAGCCCTCCCACTGTTGACCCCCCCAAGCACCAAGATGACAGAGCATCACTTACCCCAGAGTCCCTATCTACAACTTGTGAATCCCTGGAGGAATCATTCTGTCTTCCAGGTCCTGCAGGGAGTGAGTCTCTGCAGACAGACCATTCTACTAGGCTGGGGCCATGACTGAAGCAGCCCTCCTTCTGGTCAAAGTTAAACTGAGCTCCCGAGAGCCACGCCTCACCAGAAGTCTGTGTGAAGCTGAATGGCTGCTTTGGAAGGTATTTTATCCTGCTGAGTTCCCTCCCCTTTCCAAACCCTACCCTCTGGAAGCTCCACCCTTAAATCTCCAGGAATTTCCCAACATGTAGTTGGCAACTTGATGAAGTGCCCAAGTCTGAGCTCGTTGGTTCCAAAGCTTTGCATGGGAGGGACTCCACTGCTGGCGAGATTCATGCCAGAGTAGGGAATCAAACCCACGTCTCCCCCTGTCTAATCCACCTAGAGTTGTTGACTCTGGGCTGGGAAATTTCTGGAGATCTGGGCATGATGGCTGGGGAGGGACTTTCATTTCTTCTCGGCTCTATGGTACACCTTAGAACCCACCCTGTGAAGCTGCCGTTTTCTCCAAGGGAACTGATCTCTGTGGTCTGGAGATCGGTTATAATTCAGGGAGCTTGCAGACACTTACGCCAACTCACTAACCACCTGCTCTGATCTTCCTCCAAGGAGCAGACCAGTGACCTTGTGAAGTAGGTTAGGCAGGGGAAGCACAGGACTCTTCCAAGAGTCATCTAGTGAGCTACATGCAGGGGCGTTCCCTCTAAGCTGTGGAGTCTTGTGAGCAAAAAATCTACTTTGTGAGCTACTGGCATTAAAGTTGTGAGCAAGCGATCTGGCTACTGCATGCGTTAGTTTGCTCTGGAGCCATCCTTCCTGAGCTAAGACAAAAATGTATGAGCCGGAGACTAAAAAACTGTGAGCTAGCTCACACTAACTCATCTTAGAGGGAATACGGGCGGGGGGGGGGCCCTGAGCCCAGGTTTTTCCGGGTGCATGCCAGCATTCCAGCCATTACGCCCAGGTGTCTGCTTTAGTCTCAACAACCTTGGGTGGTAGGTTAAGGTTGAAAGAGAGTGGCTACCCCAAGGTCATCCAGTGAGTTTGAACTGAATGGGGATTTGAAATCAGTCTTCTCTTGGGCCTAGTCCCACAATCGTCTTCACCCAAAGAGTGATTAACATGTGGAATTCACTGCCGCAGGAGGTGGTGGCGGCTACAAGCACGGATGCCTTCAAGAGGGAATTAGATAAGCCTATGGAGCAGAGGTCCATCAGTGGCTATTAGCCACAAGGTCAAGTGGTTAAGACGCTGAACTGCAGGCTGTGGAAGGTCGGTAGTTCAGCAGTTTGAGACCCGAGTTGCCGCATGACGGAGTGAGCTCCCGTCTCTAGTTCCAGCTCCTGCCAACCTAGCAGTTCAAAAGCAAGAAATTGCAAGTAGATAAATAGGTACCCAAAGGATGAGATGGTTAGACAGTGTCATAGATGCAACGAACATGAAATTGAGCAAACTTCAGAGGACGGCGGAAGACCGGAGGGCCTGGCGGGAGCTGGTCCATGGGGTCGCGAAGAGTCGGACTCGACTGTGCGACTGAACAACAAAAATAGGGACCACTTCGGTGGGAAGGTAACAGCGTTCCGTGCGCCTTGGTGTTTAGTCATGCCGGCCACATGACCATGGAAACGTCTTCGGACAGCGCTGGCTCTTCGGCTTTGAAACGGAGATGAGCACCGCAACCCTAGAGTCGGATTCAACTGGCTTTCGAGCAAGGGAACCTTTACCTTTATGTCAGGAAAATTAATGT